TTGCCGTTTTTTTTTTTTTTTTGCTGTCCTTGCCTCGTCGTTTTGCTTGCTCGCTTGTGCTTGCAAGCTAGATTTGCGAAGGTCGTCAAAAAGGGGAAATGCAAAGCTAAAATACAGGGAGCCGATCAATGCTCGGACTAGGGAATCTCGTTGCAAGTGACGCGAGATGAAACGATTTTTCCCAACTCCTCTTGTGCTTTGTCAAGCGTACATGTACTACCCGCAGTGTCTCGTCCGCAGGCACGGCGCAAGGCGGCTTTGGCTGCAGCTGCAGCGGAGGCAGCAAAGTACATGGAGGACTGAGGACCTGAGACCCAGGCTCTGAGCATCCAAAGACGGGGCCTCTGTGGCCCTGAAGATGCTCCAGCAGGGTTGCTCAACAGACTTTGTAGGCAGTGTAGGTGAAGTTGTAGCCGCGCGTCGGGGGCAGACCAGGTCAAGGTAAGCGCCACTTGTCGCCAAAGGCGGCTGAAGCTGGCTCGGACTGAAGGTCGAGCTCAGGTGTCGCCCAAAAGAGGTTGAAGTGAGAACAGCTTCCCAGATTTTCAGGTGAAATCCACGTAGCGCCCCAGACTGCTCTGTTCAGCGGAAAGTACAATGCGCTTGTCAACTGACTGCAGGCATTCTACTCATGATACTCATGTATCCAACGCGTTAAAGTGTAGTACGCTCGTGTGCATGCAGTGACTCACAGTACCATACCTCTCACGTGCCAGACGCTCTGCCAGAAGTACGAGGTTCAGGGCTACCCGACCATCAAGCTCTTTTTCCCTGAGGCTGGGCTGGGCAAACCTTTTTACCACCTCGTTTGCAAACCCATGATTCAAGGGTTTTCCTGCACGTGCGTGCAAAGATTTCTCACATTGGGCCAGCAAGGAATTGTCAAGGATGCTGGATCTCAACTCTAAGTGCCTCTGGGTCACAGCGAGCATTGGGTCAGTCCTGGGGCTTCTTCAAGAGCTAGTTTGATGAGCATTCCAACTTGCTTTCATCTCTGCAGATCGGCTCGGCTCCAGTACAGACTCCTCGCACAGCCGGCCATGGGGATGTGTGCTTTTACAGGGCAGGCGGATGGGGCGAGCAGCCCAGCAAACACAGCAGGAACCTGGAAAGCATTGTGAGATTTCTTTGTTCTCGCAAGACAAGCGCACGCCAGACAGACAGGAAAAGCTGCTGGAGCAGCTGCCAGCCAGAGGCAGTTCCCGGTGATGAGAATCGAGGACAGATGCTGCGCAGTTCTGCATGATGTTATAACTAGCATCAAACGGCATCAGCCATGCCCAGCTGCATGCCCTGCATATGGAGGAGAACAGTCACAAGCCTAATGATTTCTCCAAGAACTTGCTGAAGCAGATTGGAGGCCGAAAGTGTTTTCCTTGGAAGACCTTGCAGACAGCATGTCGTTGACGACAGCTGTCTGGGGACCTCACACTGAAAAAGGCATGGTGAAGGTGCTTCCATTTAACTGAAGAATGGCAGGTGACTCATTGAAACCACTGGTGTAGTGTGAACGGCAGCTCTTTATGTCTTTGACTTGACTCGTTTCATCTTGCCTGCGAATTGGATTGAACTTGGCAGGTGTTCCTCGTCTGCTAGAGATGACAACCTGCTTCTACAGGAAGGCCAGAATGGCTAGCTATGGTTGGCTGTAGGTTGCTTTCGGATTTTTGATCAGGAGTAGCAGGTAAAGAGAAGCTTCGTCAGGCTACAGGGCGGGGAAGCCCAAAAAGTCTGAATCCTGGGAAGCTTCGTTTGGATGTCCGGAGGTCATGGCGAATCCGCACCTGGAACCTTTCTTCGCTTCAACAGAGGCATTTGCGCAAGGGACAGGAATGCTTCTGCTGCGGGAATCCACCTGATGGGCTTGGGGCTGAAGCATGGTTCACCGGACAGCTGAGAAGCAGGCCCATGTACACAGAAGAACTTAAAGGTCTCTTGTTTTGAGCTGTTCAGACCGGAATGTCAACTAGAGATGCGCAAGTTTCAGCCAAGCGCAGGTTTCTCACCATGCGCCACGGCTGGCAAACTGGGTCCCCTGGAAGCAAGAGAACTTTGTGGGTCCATGGCATTTTGCAGTGTCGTTGCAGATATATGTTTCAGGTAGCGGAGAAGATGGGTGCGCCGGAGAGGCCCTGGACACGCGAAAAAGGCAGCCGCAAGCAGAACGAGGCCTTGATGCGAGGCGAATGTCAGGCGTGTGCAGCAGCATGTAGATGTACCAGGCAGAGCTCAAGCAGCAAATCCTGTACCCCAACCACAACGGTGATTTGGAGCTCGAGGACAGGCCGCTAAAGGATGGGCAAAAACAAGCAAAGCACTGCCTGCACTTGTGTTCTGAGAGTGTGTGGGTGGTTCCTGCATCTCGCTAACTTCCCAGCATGCCACCTTGGAGGATTTTCTTGTACATGACCGTTCCTCAGCGCACTTTGCGGGCTGGCACTGCCCCAAGCGGGTTGGCTGCCCCATGCACAAGGCCAGGTTGAGGGACTGAGCTTGAGGCTGTTGTGGAGTTTGTGTTTCCATCTTCGGGCGAAGGTGGAAGAGCAAGGAGAGATCCGGGGATAATTGTAGGTGTTAGCCCAGGCCCTTGCTTAGCACGCATGAAAAAGGGTCAGGCATGCTTGGTATGTGCCTAGGCTCTTGCTGGTAAAGCTTCTCGTGCACATGCAGCAGTGAGTGCATGTACTTAAAGATCATTCTTCTTAACGGAATCATGGACACGTGAGGTTGGCGATCACTTCAAGCTGGATGATAGCCGTGTCTGGATGCGACTTCATTTCTGGGCATGTCGTGAGGCATGGTCCCCAAATCATTGTCTTTGGATTTCTTTAGATGGTCACCGTAGTGACGTGTTCCTGAGAGCCGAGGTTGGTCTTATTGGGCCATCGAGCGGCGAGAGGACAAAGCTTCAGGTTGACTTCGAGCCGCTCATCACAATGTTGGGCAGGGCTGCCCATCGGGTGTTCATTGCTCGATCTGGTTCAGGAATTTCTACACCCGCTTCATTGGACATTTCGTCCGGGTCTACGAGCGAAGCGCGCCTGCCTTCGCACGCGTGGAGCCGAAGGGAGGGAAGGGAGAAGACAGCTGAGGCTGAGGCTCCAGCCTTGTGAATAGCTGCATCTTCTGGAGGAGTGCCAGTGGAGCGATGAGTCCACTGCCGAGGGCAAGGCTTGTACACGATTCGGCAGATGATCTTCAACCTGGTTTGTTGCTTTAAGTGCCAGTGTGGGACGGGCTTGGCTGTACGATTTACATGGAACATGCGAGCTGGGAGCTGACAGACTTGTGTAAAGGTGAAGTTGCATGCACACGTCGAGGCCAACGTCCAGCGCTACCGTGCCTTACAGCTTGAGACGCCGGACTACATGGAGCCGCTGTGGCGGCAATTTTTTGGGTCTTTCACTTCATACCCAAATGCCCCAAATCTGCTGAAGTGTTGAATGAGCGCCCATTCGCAAGGAAGAGGCTCCACGGAATGGATGATGTTGTCGGTCTCCGTGATCCTGCAGAGGATTGCATGGAAATGCCATTCTAGAAAACTAGATGTTCATGAAGAGTGGAGGCCCTGAGAAGATCATTAGAGTGCAGCTTTGTGCTTGGACTTAGACCTCCAGGTTTTGCCACTCATCCCACAGAATTCATGGCATCCCTGAAGTGGAAAGCGCCTGTGAACAAGTCTGGAAAGTTGGCGTGAACAGATTCCACAGGCCCGAAGACGCGTCGCTGGTATTCGGGATGATGGCTGGCCATACTCTGACGACGGACTGTTTGTGCGAGAGGAGTAGGGCCGCATCTGGTTTAGATGATCTGGGAGGAGAAGAGTTCAATTTTGAGTTTTGAAGTCGCATGACAGCTTCACTTGAGTGTTTTCAACTCGTTTGATGAGGGCAGGCGTCAAACCTGGAGATAAGATGGTTTTGCCGCTGCCCTTTTTGACACTGCAAGCTTAGGCTCAGAAAGGTCTTGTAGCCAGTGAGTGCCATTTGGAAAGACTTGCTTCCTTGCAGAGACTTCCTGAGGCTAAGACAAAGCAAGCCTTTAAGGCTCGGTGATTTTAGAGTTGAACAGTGGAGTATGCTTGGCCAAGCCAGTGCGACGAAGATTCGAAAGTCAAAACCAACTTCACACGCAGACGTTGCTCCCTGCTATCAAGCTCTGAGTGGAATGCAAGTGGTCTGGAAACACTAGACGCATCACGGGGTATCTGATCAAGCCAGTGTGGCTGTTTCTTCGGCTTAGAGTGATATGCTGAGACTAGGATGGAGAGCTTCCTGAGAGGCGGACCGAGCGCCGCAGAACTTCAGGCCTTCATCGCAGGGCATAACACCTGCCATCATGACTCTTGGGCTTGAGCCAAGATAGGTTACGCTGCGAATTCTCAATGTGGTTTCTCTTGATTTGATTGAGCTGCGAGGGGCCAGCGAACTGAAGATGGCTTCCTCAGATATGCCAAGGTCCGGCCGGTGTCAGCTTCAAAGGTTGCATTGTATTCAGGTTTTTGGCCGAGTTAGTTTCTTGGCAGTTATGAAACACAAGATGCAATCCAGAACAGTTTGTTGACAGTCACGAGTAGGCATACATCAGAGCATAATGAGTGCTACCAGCACAATGACCTTGGCTACCACACTGCTGATTTGCCGCCAGCGCATGACCTCCGCACCGGTGCGACAACTATCAACCGCATCAGAGCTGGTCCAGGCAGGGTCAGGGAGGAGAGATGGTCAGGGAGAGAGAGCTTTGCATATCAGCGTAGGCTTCAAGGGCCAGCACGGGCAGTTTGTGGGGATGAGCTCAGGTTCCGACATGAGCTAGGTTGAGGACCTTGCTGGCAAACTTTCCAGCTAGGATTTCAGCACGTCTTCATGCAGCAGGCAGTTCAATTTATCATGTCATGAAGGTTGACCCAGCCTTTTTCACTGTTCTGAAAGATGAGGCAATGGCATTCGAGCCCTTTGCTGCCATCCTCGTAGCCGACAGGCAGAGTGGCTCACTCTTGTGGGTTCTTGGAAGTCTATCGCTGGTGCCTGAAGTAGCGCTGACGTTTTGCGGCCAGCTCGTGATAAAAACTGAAGCGGAGCGCGTGGGCCTGTTGAAGGGCTGTGGCAGCAGAGGTCTGGGGCCCGAGAGAACAAGTTCCAAAGAGGGCCTGATTCTGGAACCATGTTTCACAAGAACTTTGACTTCAGGGATAGTGTCGGGCTGCAAATCCAACAGTTTGGCCTGCCCTGGATGATCCAGGGTACGAGTCTGCGGCTTGCATAGAATCGTTTCGCACTTGCACGTTCATGTCTAGACACGTTTGGTGCTCGAACCTGTTTCTACTTGTGACCGCTACACTGAAGTTTCGCTTCGCTCAACTAGCAAGGATGGTGTGGTACTGAACTGCTGACACTTTGCAAAATCACCCACGGCAGGTACGTGGATGCCTTCACTGCTGTTGCACAGAGGCTGGTCCTAAGCAGCCTGTGTCTAGGTCATATTGTCTAGGTCATATTAGTATAGAGTCTTGGGAGGGCAGTGCCTGTTTCAGCTTTGCGCATGTTTTGCATGTGGGCTCACACCCAATAAGCCCGTGCCGCAGATTTTGGCTCGAAAACCCAGCTCTTGGCTTCCCGCTGCCTTAAACTTCTTTTTCAGGCCAGGGCTTCTGGTATTGCATCGAGGCAACAGACAGCAGGCACCTCATGCTTGCAAGGTTGCTGCAATGGCCTCGCATGGAAAGATCACGTACACCTACACGGATGAAGCCCCTATGCTGAGAGCCCAGGAACACACGGAGGAGCAGCAGTGTTTGGCCTCAACTTCCTTTCCGCTACTCAGGTTGGCGACGCATGCTCTTTATCCCATCATCCAGGCAGGATCATGTGCTTGAATCGGTGGAGGGTTGTCAGCACATGTCAGCACAGAGTTGGAGTGCTGGGGTGGCCCAGGATGAGCCTAGAACTAGACTACGTTGACTGACTGCGCAGACTATGTAAAGTCCTTTACTTTACCCAAGTCCTCTGAAGATGACACACTGCCGCATCTTCCTTTGACCTTTACTTTCAACTCTCAGATGGGAAGCACGGAGCAAGCAATGTCTACCCAGCTTTGCTTCCTAATTGTCTTTGCTCTGTAGCGGAAGGCGTTCTGCTCGCAAGCGGGCGTTGAGATGGAGCTGAAGGATGCTGGCCTATCAAATCTCCCAGCAGTCCACTTCTTGGCTGATGCTTGCATACGAAACACCATGCAAGAACGCCCTTCCAGTTGCCGCAGGTTGATACGTCCTTGCTAGCTTGCGATGCTGCCTGCACCTTTTGGCAGGACATCTCCGTTGCTGGACGTCTGCTACTCAACTTTGCGCTTGTAGTAAAACAGTATGAGAGCAGAAACGCCTCAAGCCACAACTTAAAGATGGCGTGTGAAGTGGAATTGGCATGCCTGCTCTCTTGGCCCTTGCTGTTGCACTTGGTGCTGCAACCTCAATCGCGGCATGGCAAGGTGTGCTGGCGCTCTTCCCTGACATGCTCAAGGAGGTGCGGCCATCCTGGCAGGTGATTGATCTCAAGCCACTTGTATCTTGAGCTCTCCAGATCACAGATGTAGGACCTTAGCACTTGGTGTTTTCCAGAATTCACGATCCCTGTTTCGTGAGCCCCTATGGTAAGGGTATTTGTCTTTGGGGTCTATATGGGGAACTCTACTTTGGAATATCCATGTCTTTGCAGACGCTTTTGCCTCTCCAGGACCAGCGTGCTGGGGACTTCTTAGCAGAGCTGGGGCGCTTGGCGCAGAGTGGCCAGGCAAGGGATGGGCATGGAGGAGGGTTCAGGGAGAACTGAAGAGAGTTGCAGCGGAACAACAGTGGCATCAACAACGTAGCAGAGCCTCACCACCCTGTCACGTCTGTGAGCCCGGATATTGAATTTGCTGAAGTTTTTTACTGTCCTGGCGTACTCATAGCTGCCCGCTCGCACAAGGCATGTTGGTTGCCTCCAAGACTCCAAACAACTTCAACTGCTCAGAGCTGCTCTCAAGCCTTATCATGCGAATTTATGCTGCCTTGAGGCCAACATCATCAAGCTGCCCAACGTCAGTGCATCCGTGCCGCAACTCAAGGAGCAAAGAACGTTGGTATCCCAAGACTCGTTTTAAATAGTTAATAATTAAATAGAGTTTCTCTTCAGACAATCTGGTCACTCAAAGTGCAAGCTGCAGGGTTTTGGTCACTCTGCTGCCCCAGGCCTCAGGGAGCCAAAATTGCTTGTACTCAAGTGGCACATTCGTGCTGCGTAACATAGACGGCAAAGACCTCAACAGGTCAGGCCTCCATTCTTGCCGTCAAATAGTGGAATGGCTGAACGCAAGGCCGTGAAAATCTCCACCAGCTAGAAAGCATTTGGTTCGAAAGTTGAGTGCTGTATGAGACCGAGCAAGACATTGCTAGACAACTGCAGCCAGCACATTACATCCTGGAGGCTGCGTGTCCTTGTGGCTATTGCCAGGCAATTCAGCTCAGGCTGCTGGCACAGGGCAGCTCGTTGCTGTTTGTGAAAATTGGTCAGGAGTGCATCACTGAGCTGCAGAGCCAGGGCTACAACATTCCGAATTACCCGGAAGACCCCAAGGCCGGCTGTGCAGTGCCAATGCTGAGAGATCTGGGGAGAGGGCCACTTCTGTGAGGATGACAAGGACAAGGAGATCAAATCCCGCTATGCCAAGGCACCACGCATGCACATCATGCACATGGCCAAAGGCTCAAATTACATGGCTTGAGAGGTGCTTGGCAGCGCCGTGAATCCCGTGCTGCGAGAGGGCAATTCGGACCGACGAGCTGCCGTGCCTGTCAAGGAGTATGCACGCCAGCCGCAGCAAGTCCGGAGTTCGGTGTTCTACAAGAACCATGCGCCACCAAAAAATGCTCAATCTCGCAACATTTTACATGCTTGGGATCAACGCTTGAACTCTCATCGGAACAAAGTCCAATCTGTCCTTGATACCAAGAATGTCTTGCAAGTGGGGGCCGTCCTGGACTCAGGCTTTCAAGTACCCGCACTCGATGGGTGCATGGTCGAGTGAGTCCAAGACGCATGCTGCTTGCCCGAATGTCGAGATGCCACATGTTTGTAGACAGTCTTCAGCACGTGTTGTTTGATCCGTCACTAAAAGATGCTTTAGATGCAAAGGTGACGTCGATGTCCGACGGTGATTTCTACGCTCACGAAAAGTCTGTGACGATTCCTGAGGTGAGCGACTCTTTCAGTTAACATGTTGGCCAATGTTTCAGTACGTGACCACTTCATGAGGCCTGCGAAGCTCGCATTGAGATGGTCTCTGAGATCGGCGAGGTCCTGTTGAGTCAGAGCTGAGGAAAATCTGATGATAAGGATAAGTAGTCTAACATGGATCAGCCGACAGTTGTCGTGCAAGTTTTTTTTGCTGGCGTCGAGTTGCTGTTTTGGCGGTGAAGACTTGTCTGTGCACGCATTCTCTGTGAATGCTTCTCTTCTAGTCGTGGTACTGCGACCAGGTCAATGTGCTGAAGGAGAAGATTTCCTTGCAGAAAGGTGAAATTCTGGATGTCGCCTGCCTTAACCTACGCCTCCTTGTGGGATGAAGCAGGAGAGAGCCACGAGCCTGTCTTGTTGAGCGGACAGTGAGCATCCAATGCAGTGTCCATCTAAAGGTTGGATGTTGAGGATGGAAGACTGCAAACTGATAAGCAAGCAGGGTGTGTTCACAGCATCAACACCAGGCGAGCTACATGAATTGCACCATGCTCCGGGAGTTCTTCGAGCGTGAGATTGCTGATGCGCGCGAGAAGGACCATGGGCAGATTTCTGCATACCTTGCGATGCAATGCAAGGAATGCAATACGCATTGGGCTACTTCAAGGCTGCATGAGACGTCTGAAACTTGCAAGAAGCTCTGCTGGTGTGCGCTGGAAGGATGTGCTGTTCTCACTGCACCTGAAAGCGACCATGATGAAGATCTCTGACCCGATCATGTTTGGGCACTGTGTCAAGGCGCCCTGGCTGTCGGGTGAAAGCAGTTGTCAACATGGACCAGGTCGCAGCTCTAGTGTTTCCAATGTCAGCTCACAGCTTCAGCATGCTGTAAGTCCTTTCACAATTACCATTTACAGTAATTATGCAGTTCAGCTGCCCTTGCAAGTATTACCTTTTTCGCCTGGTGTGCCGCCAGGCTTACTTCAAGGATGTCTTCAGCAAGTATGCTGAGACTTTCGAGAAGCTGGGTGTTAACGCAGCTTGGATGATAGTCCGGTCAGTTGATGTGTCTTGAGAGCTGGGAACAGAGAAAGGGCCAGGTCCTCAATTCTGGACACTGTGGGAGTGAAGGAGGTTGCGAGGCTTGGTGTGCCCTGTAATCTCAGGGCAACATCTCAGGCAAACAATGGCCTTGGCGACGCGCTTCGGCTGCACAATGGTGGGGCATGACCTCCTGTGCTGATGGTGTCACATTCCAGTAGGTGATGCATGGTGTGTGTAGACCTAGGGAACGGGCAGCTCTCTTCTGTTGCCGCTGACAGGGCCCCAAATTTTCCGTCCAAGGTCTATAAGAAGATCGCAGCCCTCCCAGAGGCAGAGAAGGCAGCCATTGAAGCTGACCTCATGGCCACCTATGCCAAGCAGGGAAAAATGGCGATGGTGGATTCACACCGAGGCATCACGAATCTCCATGTTCCTAGTGACATTATCATCGACAACTCCATGCCGACAGCGATCCGGGCCGGGGGGAAGATGTGGAACAAGGATGACAAGGAGGAGGACTTCAAGGCGTGCATCCCAGACCGCAGCTATGCCGGCGCCTTCGCAGAGTGCGTCGAGTTCTGCAAGAAGAATGGTGCTTTTGACCCTAGGACTATGGGTGCTTGCCCCAACGTCGGCTTGATGGCACAGAAGGCAGAGGAGTACGGCTCGCATCCGACGACCTTTGAAGCGGCATGCGCCGGGACCATCCGCATCGTTGTGAACGGCAGCGACAGGGTGCTCCTGGGCCATCGGCTGCAAAAAGGAGACATATGGCGTTCTTGCCAGACCAAGGATGCTCCCATCAAGGACTGGGTGAAGCTTGCAGTGCGTCGGTGCCAAGCCAATGATTTCCCCAGGAACGACAAGCCCTGCAAGGCAATCTTCTGGTTGGATCCTGCGCGTGCTCACGACTGCCAGATCATGGAGAAGGTCTACCAGTACCTTCCAGAAGTTCGCACAGATGGCCTGGACATTGAGATTATGTCGCCGCAGCAGGCTATGCGCGTGACCTGTGAGAGGGCTAAGCAGGGCCTGAACACGATCACAGTGACTGGCAACGTTCTTCGGGACTATCTGACTGACCTTTTCCCCATCCTTGAGCTTTGCACGAGCGCAAAGATGCTCTCAGTGGTTCCAATGTTGGCGGGCGGTGGTATGTACGAGACAGGGGCAGGAGGCTCCGCTCCCAAGCATGTCCAGCAGTTCACAAAGGAGAATCACCTTCGTTGGGACTCCTTGGGAGAGTACTTGGCCCTCACCTGCTCCATTGAGGATCTTGCCAAGGACACCCGCAACAAGGCAGCGGCGGCCTTGGCGGCGGCGCTCAGCCGTGCCGTTGGCCGTTTCCTCGATGCGAACAAGAACCCCTCACGCAAGGCCTGTGCTCAGTGGTTTGGCATACTCAAGGCTTTATGCAGCCCTCGCAATGCCAGGTCAGGGAGATCGATAACCGCGGAAGCCACTACTGGGTGGCCCGCTGCTCGAGCCGCAGGAATTTTCAGAAAGCACGAACAGGGCTGTGAGGACTCAGGGAAGATCCCTGGTACGAGTTCCGCATATCAAGAGCTTTGGTCTACTAACGGTAAAGCCAAGCCCGGGCAAGTTTGCACCATTTTGCACTGAGGTTACTGGGCTGAGGAGTTGGCCTCCCAGGATGAAGAGAAGGGTCTCAAGGCAACCTTCTCCAACGTGGCCGAGCAGCTGAAGGCTTGGTCGCCGCGCTACTTCCCGTAATGTACAGAAGCCTGTGAAGCCTGTTAGATGCAAGGTAAGGACGTGTGTGGCTAATCGTTTGCGAAGTGTGTAGCGGGAGGAGAAGGAAGCCGCCATCCTCGCAGACATGCTCGACTGCCAGGGAAAGGCCGTTGACATTGGAGGCTACTACCATGTTGACAAGGCCCAAACTGTGAACTGTGAAGGGCGTAGTCATCTATTATTGTTTTTTCAATAAATGACGCCTCCCTGCGTCCTATGTACTGCAGCACTCCTTGAAAGATCAGGGGCATTTCTCGACTTTTTCCTCTATCTTGCAAGGCCAAGGCCGACGTGGCTATGAATCCCAGCGCTACGTTCAACGGTCTCTAGTCTAAAGCGAGTCACGATGTCCAAGCAAGCCGAAACATCAGAGTGGACAGTGATCTCCTGCGTGTGGCAAGCGCACAATGAAGTCAGAGGTAGATATAGGGGGTTACACGCTGCTATACACACCTTGGTGTCAAGTTCTGTTTGTGCGGACAGGTATGACTTGCAGCTGAGGCATCATCACTCGTTTGGCTCAGGGCCCTGACGCCAAGATCTAAGGCCCTCATGAAGCTGTTGGTCAGCATGTACGTATATCAACGATGTAGAATGTCAGCATCTCATGGTCTGCATGTGGTCAAAGCCTATTTGTATGCAGTCTAGATTGCTTCACACCTCGAAGCACAGCAGAATTCAGATTTGCCCCTTGTACGCTTCATGTGGTTTTTGGTTTTTGTGCATGCATCCAGTATCCTGCTTTTGGAAGATTCGTTTGCAGAAGCGTCTCCTGTTGCAGGGGGCCAAGTCCGAAGGACGCATCTTCCAGGGCTGAATGGCCTGTACAGCAGCTGTAGAACATGCAGCGAACTTGTGGCGTGAAGGACTGCGGGTTTGGAGTTGGGGGTGCCTGGTGTCGGTACCCTCACGCACAGTCTGTCAGGGCCCCCAGTTCAAATTTTAGAGACCGGGATGTCAAAAAGAAACAATGGAACTTGGGGCCTTCTCCCGCATCTGGTTTTGGAGCTTGCTTTAGGGCAGTCTTGCTGCTCTACTCATTTTGCGGCCTTCTATTAGGCCTTAGCTTGGCTTTGGCAGAAGCAGCCTGAGCCTGCTGGTTTTGAACCTACCATCTTCCCTAAGGGATTGGCAGTTGCCGGGTGCATCAGCCACTTAGCATTGACGAAACACTTAAGGATACACTCTGCTCCCATGTTTGGCAGCTTGCCAAAGTTCCCACCCTTGGGTGTTCGCCCAGCTGGAGGCCAGCCGTGGCAGGGCAAGAGCCTTCGATGTGCGAGAACTCGTTCCGCTCGTTTCGAAAAGAGCTTATAATCTTCTGCCTGACGGGATCTGCTACGGAGCGCCGAAAAGCAAATTGGAATGCCTCATCCCTGGAAATGCCCTGCCTGAGAACGTCTGCCAGATACATGGACCGTCACATCATCGCGACGGTGCAGCTCTTAGTGCTTTCCAAGCACCTGGTACAAGCACATGTTAAAGATCATGTTCGGCGATGTGTCCTCAAATCTCGTGCCAAGGCTCCTTCTGTCGCAGACCTGCTGCCTGAGGCCCTTTTGTTTCCTAAAACGTGTGTACCAGCGTGTATCGGTCTTTGATCGATTTTCGACAGGGTGTCAAGGCCGGGGAGGCTCCGCTGGCGGCTGGAGCCTCGTATGTGGTCTGCAGCCATCCGCAGCCTCTGGTTACATCTCACTAGCTGTACGACTCCACATACGTAGGCTCCCATTTGCATTGCCGTGACTTGGGTGGGATGCTACTTGACTTTGTCTGGCTTGGACCATTCCCGCATTCACTCGCTCATGTATCTGCATGAGAGTTGACAGTGCCCAAGCTGCACACTTGCGATGACTTGTCGCAGACTCTAGCCCTTGTTTTGGCAGTCAAGAATCTACTTAGTTTTATCATGATCATGTTGGATTTGCAGCGCTTGTATGTCCAGCTAATCTTTTCTCATCGCGTTGCACATGTGAAGCACAGCCCAGCCCAGCCACTTGCCCTGCGTGGAACGCTTTACGCCTCACCTTTGAGGGGGGCAGCCATGCGGCGCGTGTCAGTGCTCGGCTCCTGCTGGTTGGCCGTGGGAACTAGCTGCACCTGTGGAGATACGAGGTGGGCTGTTTGGAATGTTGAGCTTCCATGTTAACCTATTCCTGACAACTCCTTCCTTTAATATGTGGCCTGGCTCTCCATGTTGGCGTAGTGAACCAGATGACCTTGCGAGTGGCATTCTGTTGGCCTCCGATCCAAGTTTCCATGCAGCACTGCTGTCCAACCCGCGGGCGGGGTCGAACAGCAATCAGCTTCGAGTTGGGATCGAAGTTCCTCATCAACGTGCAATCCTGCAAAGTCTTGGGTTCTGCAGAGCCGCGCAGTCACAGGCAGCCTCTTCCCACACGAAGCGCCTGGCGTCTGGCCCAGCAAGCCGAGGCCCTGCAATTTGTTGACTTATGTGGACAGTGTTCAGTTGTTTTTCTCTGCTTGCTCTGATTCGTCTTGTGATTTCCCACGGCTTGGTGTCAGTTCTGCCGGAAGTGTTTTCAGGCATGAGACTATTTACATGTCAGCTTTGCAGCCAGCCTTCTTTGGTTGATCCCATGACTTCAAGCACAGAATCCTTGTTGCTTTGCTGGTCTGCTCGTGTAACCCCAGCTCCTTTGAGATCAAAGGTAGAGGCGCTCCTTGATCAGCATTGGGTGCCTTGGCCTGCCATTCGCAGCATCTTCTCCCTACGGCCTCGCTGCTTTCCTTTTTCTTTCTGATTCTGTGCCTACCATCTCCAGGCAATCTAGAAGAAATTGAACCTCTGCTGTGCCAAGGGCTTCATGCGGACGGGCGGGGGGCTGAGGAGAGACAGCTTCGGGTGAAAATATTTTCGAGCGCCTTCATGCTTGCAACATGTTCCCATTTGAAGTGCAGTCGGGTCTTTCCAATCTAAACTTAGGTTACACAATGAGTATTGAAGATGATGAGAAGGTCCAGCAAGCCCAGGCAGCATAGTCAATGAGTTGAAAGCTGATCCTAGAGCTGGCCTCTTCCAAAAAGTGCAGCTTCTTTGGCCTTGCCGGAAGTTCGATGCCTCAATTGTTAGATGCGCATCCGGAAGCACTCGGACTCTGATCCGGCCTCGGCGCACGTCTACGGAGAGGCCTTTGCAGCTTTGCTTTCCGCGCGGATCAACCTTCAAACCCTAAACAGCGAGCCTTTGCGGTGCCTTTGCCCCCTCAAAGCCATTGCAGCTGACTGCGAACGGCGTGCGGCAGCTCTCCGCCTTCCTCGGTCTTGATGAGGCAAGTGACAAAAGATGACAAAAGCTTCCACACCGTGAGCCGTGAGTGTGGTTGCAAAAAGATGCAAAAAGTGCTTGTGAAGACTTCTGAAGCCTGTAAGCCCGGTGCTTGGGCAGGCCAAAGATGCTTCCTTCGTCGATTTAGGGGCTGGAGTCGGGAAGTGCCCCGGCAAAGGTGCCGAAGGTACAGCATGGACATCGCTGCTGGCATTGAAGCCATTGTCGCACATCCAAGGGTCGTGGCACAGATCTTCCTGGAGAATCCGAGGCGTGGCTCGAAGTCTAGAAAAAACGACTGTGATATGACTGATCTGGACAGGTAGTTACGCAATATTTTTTCAAAGGTTGGATGCATAAGCCCAGCGAGGTGTCAACTTGCAGACAGGTGCCGGCCACTAGGTAAGAACGCTCGAAACGCAACAGTGCTTTGAATATCTTTGTGCATGCCTGTTTGAAGTGCATGCGTCCCTGGTTTGCTGTCAAAGTGAGTGCACATACTGTACTGGACGAGCCCAAGTTTTGTTTTCAAAAAGCCGTTGACTCCGTCGCAGCCTCCCGAAGGGTGCGACGGGTGCTCGGCGTGGAGCTATCGCCAACTCGCGCGGAGAACGGCCGCGTGCCCCGTCTTTCAATTTCGATTTGGGGCCTCCAGAGTTCAAATTGTTTCGTTTAGGCTTGTGGTGCATTCCAGGAAAGAACAGTTGATGGCCGATTTATGGCAGGAGGCCCTGGCAGAGCTTCGAGCCGGGGAGATGATGGTGCTGCGCCAGCGTGCACTGCTGGGTGATGCCTTGGAGGCCTCAGTGAAGAGTTGAGTACGCGGAGTTTGGTAGCTCTCATGATTTTTCCTGCTAGGATGCAGCACTTTCCGGTGATCCCTGGGCCTCCACCGGTGAGGTGGATTTCGTTGAGGGCGACATGCCCCCGGGCAATGAGTGGGACATTCGGAGTGTGCTTTGATCTGTCGAGAAGTCACACATGTCAGCGACCATGGCCGCATGATCCAGCCACAATCACTGATGGCTTGTAATATTTGTGCTTCTCTGCTTGCCCCGCCGAAATCCCCGCCACAGCTGAGGTTTCAAATGGATCTTGGTCATGCAACGCATGTCTACATGGCCTCCACCTCCTGGCGTCACGTCCACACCCAGTGTTGGGCATGGGCTGTGCTTCGAAGGGGGTACGTGAACTCTGTAGCCTGCACTGAGCATGAGGTTCAGAGGCATTTGACAAGGCCCACTCTAGCCTCCACACAGGGCGACTGGGCCCGTGAATGATGTTCGTGCCCACACAGACCAAGGTGTCCTTCAATGTTGCGCGAGCTTGCAGGCAAGTTGCTGAAGGCTGGAATGGCTGTGCTTGAGCCAAAGTGTTATCGGGAGAACCGGGAATCACGTTATTGTTTTTTGGTTGTTATTCTCCAGAGTGATGTAACTTGTGCCACCAACCCAGTTGCTTACATCCTCACTGCTAAGTACAGTTGCTCCCGCTTCATGGCACATAAGATTGCTTTAGAGACGACCTAAACCGTGGTCCCCCCCAAAGCCCAGGAGGCGACATATCTGCAGGCAGCAGCCTCCCTCAAGCGACTCCCTGAGGCCAGCTGAAGTAGGCAGATTTCCCCAAAGAGTCTCCAAAGTCTCTCGAAAAGCTTTTCTCAGGGCCTTGCTGGCTTCGAGGAGGTCGAGGCCCAGTTGCAGACGTGCCTGGATCAGCAGCGAGCAAACATGAACAGGACTTGGCGAACAGGACTTCTTCGATGATGATGATGATGTCCTGCGATGTTGCTGCAATGCAGCATAGCGCATGATACTGAGGTAGGCATTAGCATTGGCATGCTGTCCTTCCGGCAGCAGCAAGCGACATCAGCACGTGCGTAAGCGTCACCTTTCCAAGATGATGTCGAATGGACCCCTGCGTCAGGGTACGTCTGGTGTCTTCACATGCGGAAGACAGAAATCATGTCCCATAAGTGTGAGGATGACCGAAGGGCCAGAGCAAGACGTTCCTTTGCAGAGCGGCACCGAAGCTAATAAGTACAAATATTCACATCTCACTGCGTGCTAGGTCCTGGACCAAGAAGGACCCGGCCGGCTCCAAAGTGTGCCTTTGTTGAAGAGAAGGTCATACAGAAAAGTATCGAAGAATTTATGTGCGAGCATATGCGAAGAAGATGCACTGCCAATGGACAGGAAAGCCGCGATGCGGTTCCATGCGGTTTCGGTCATTCTAAAGCAGTTCGGTTCGATGCATTTTTTTTTCGGTCCGGTTCGATGCGATTATGTCCGCTTCGATGCGAATGTTCGACTGATTCGGTGATTTATTACACAACTTTCTATTCGCCTTATTGGTCTGGGTTGATGCACGCCAAAGTTCGCCAATATTCGGTGCGCTTAATTGTATATGAGGCTTTCAGCAGGATGCGCCGAATGATTTTCTGCAGCTCTGGAAAAATCATCCAACACTGGTTATTAGGGAACGTCAGAGATGATTTCTTCAGCCCCGACAAAAATCAAAACATCGTATCTTCTAGGGTTGTACTTACCATGCCCAAAGTAGGTCAGTAGTAGATATGCTTGTCAAGGAGAAGATGATTTATAGGCCGAGTATGAGCCTACCAAGATCCTCTCCAGCAATTCTATATGGTGTATATAGGTACTGTGTGGGCTAGGTTACAACGGCCCACAAACCTTCAAGTTCCGGGGTTCAGCTGGATATGCCGAATGATTTTCTGCAGCCCTGGAAAAATCGTCCAGCAGATAGACTGGGAAGTCCTCCGACCCACAGAACAAGGTCTAAATGATTTTGCCAGTCCTTGCAAAAATCATTTGGAGGCCCCCGCCCCCAAACCTCATAAAGTCATTTCGGAGGCTGCCTGACCCAGAACGGCAGATGACGCGGGAAGTCCTTCGACCCCAAAACACAAAGTCCAAATGTTTTTTCAGGCCTTGCAAAAATCATTTTTGAGGCCCCCGTCCCCAAATCTCCTCATAAAGTCGTTTGGGAAGCTACATGATGCATAGCCGCAGATGGCGTGATAAGTCCTCCGACCCGAAACATAAAGTCCAAATTTTCAGGCCTTGCAATTTTGGAGGCTCTCGACCCCAAACCTCATAAAGCCATCTGGCAAGTTACCTGACCCGCAACCGCACATGGAGTGGGAAATCCTCCGAAACACAGCACAAGGTCCAAATGATTTTGCCGGGCCGGGGCAAAATCATTTTGGAGACCTCCCACCCAAAGCCTCATAAAGTCATGTGAGAAGCTATCAGATTTGCCGGATGCGGGCCATGTGATTGGATTTTCTAGGTCTTGATCCTGCTTGCTAGGCCTTGGATTCTCTTATCTCAAACGACAGATGAATTTTTCCCAGCTTTGGAGAAATCATTTGGGAAATCAGCTCCCATTCGGTTATTCGATGCGAGTCGGGCGGTTCTTGACACATTTTCGGTTCACACGGCTCGATGCGATTATTTATTTCGGTTGTTGAATCCGGTGCTTGCACATTAACAATTCCGTCCGTCCCTCCCCTCTTGGCGAACGCTGAGTCTACCTCTTTTTGAAGTTTAAATTAATAGCGTTAAAGCATTAGAGTTCACGGCCGGCCAAGACACCTGGCAAAAATTGTTAACGGTGCCTACGGCGCTTGCGCACACGTTCTTGGGAGTGCCTTTTCCGAATGCGCCCCTCGGTCAGCGCGCTTGGAATGAGGATGCCTGCCAACGCCGCATAGGCGTATTCATTTCGCTTGCCCACATCCTAGCGGGAGGTTACTGCAGTGCCGCATCGGCATTCCTACCGGACCAGGTGCAAAGAATTGCGGTGCTCTCGATTTTCTGCTCTTCTTGCTGGTTTTACATTCGCTGTGGCCTGGCTGAAAAGCGACGTTCTTTTCTTGACCTTCAAAGCCCCAGACCTAATCCCCGCTGCTAGACCAGAAAACGAACATCCGCATGAATGATTATAAACTACAACTGCACTATACCAAAGAAGATCCCTAAACCGAAAGCCAATCGAATGTCCTTGTCGGAATTCACCAATAGTCTTGTACGAGCAAGGACACCAAAACCATGTTTCGAAACACCGTCTTGTTTTGAAGCGCCGGATCAAGAAAAAGCTCTCCAAAAGAGAAAGCCAAATTCGGGAGGCTGAAAATCCTGGAAGCGTACTTGTGTTCAGGGAAGACTAATTTTGACAGTGGCCATTTAAACTTAGGAAGACATTAATCCTTATTTGTGGGGTTGTGAGGGATTACGGCCATCAGAAGAAATCATAAAGGACTAGAGATTTTCTTGGTTTTTGGAATTTCATGGGTGGATTAATGCACTGGAGAGATAGAAAGAACGTCAAGTTAGAGTTAGGCGTCCCTTCAGTTCCTAGCCTTTGTTGCTTTCATTCGGCCTTCAAGCGCCATGGGAAATCTAATCAAAGCTAGACTTTGCTTGATTTGCTAGGTAATCATTTCTCCCAAGGGTTGTTGCTGCAGCCAGTTGAATGTTTTGAGTACTTGTAGCTATAAATCGATGTCAGAACATCTAATTGTAAGTCAGGGTCTCCTTGAACTTTCATTTTCAGAACTTGTGTTTTTGTGATGTTTTCATTTTTTCGGGATGATGGATTAGATTTCAGTGTTGCAATGTGCGTCATTGCTATTGTCTGTGAAAAGTCGGATTACCAAAGTTACTCCTGTTGCCATTGCGATTGCTGCCGCCGCGTTGTACCAGCGTTACTAGTACAATCATTTTATAGCATTCAGGGTTTTTATTCCTTGTGCCCGTTCTAATATTGTTTTCGTAGTTCATGCGGACATTACTCATTGCGCAGTTTCTTGTGACCTTGTCATTGTTCTTGGTGCCAGTGCTACAATATTACTGCTGCTTGCTCTGTTCTCATTTGTACCATTACCCCTATATCAATACATCCTCAATTCTGTGGGAGAGGTGCCTTCATGGAGGTGTATGTTAACCTGTCTGTTGGAAGTTACACGGATGTTATAGTGGTCTATCTAGAAACCATTCCACGAACTATTCACTTTGTTCAGCTATGTGTCAGGTTAAGACTTTCAGAGCACTGGGCTCTTCAGCTCGATTGCGTTAAGCCAAGCCATGAACTTGACTTTACAAAGGTACATCTACCGTGCGGCTCAGCGATGTGATGCGCCAAAGTGACTGCGAAATCGGTTCAAAAGATGTTTCAGAAGAGCAATGCGCCACCTTGCTGTGTGTCTAGGTATTCAGGCGTCTATGTGGGACCTGAAGTATCAGTCATACTTTGTCCCAGGACTTGAGGTCTCTGAAGTATACTGTTGGTCTGAGGAGCGTATATGTTCATCAGGGAGTTATAGGATGATATTTCTTCATGAGGCTTTCCCAGCGTTAACTATTGAATCTCACCACCAAGCACTTTGACGATGGCGACCTCAGGGATTGGGATGATGAGTCAGCAGCTGCTCTTTTGCGAGGGTTCTGAATGCATGTGACGCTTACACTTGACAGTCTACGAGCTTAGTGAGCTGGATTTCATCATCCAACGCTGTGCATTGTATGCCCGGAGCTTTTAGTGTGGGCCCCGCTTGGCACAACAGCGTGCGAGGTTCTGGCAAACCCAGTGCAGCAGTGGCCTGGTGGTGCTTCAGCCAGCTTCGCAGTCCGAGCCCCGATTCTGCAGTCGTTTCCTCATGCAACTTGACAGGAGTGTGCTCGCATATGAAATTTGGATTTGTCTATGCATGTTGAGGCTTTGGAGTCACTCACTTCATGCAGCGGAATGCAGACAGTCCTCAGGCATCTTACTACGAGGAATCGATGGCCAACATGCCCAGTGCCTGAGACATGTCAGGCCTTCTTGCAATGATTTGGTTTTAACTTGCAGACAGGGAAGGATGCCTAGAGCGTTCAGATGTCCGTCGATTATTCAAGCGTGCACTGGAGGGTTGCGGGCATTTTCAGAATAGTCTTTGGTTCAGCTTACATTTGCCTTGCGGGGATTTTTGTAAACCAGCCTTCAACTTGCAAGTCAGGGTTGACTTGAACTTTCCTGAAGCTCACCTGCGAAGAGCAGGCAGGGTTTCCATGCTTTTGAGCAACTGTTTTCTGGCAGCTCTTTCATGCGTGTTTTTGTGGAGTCATGCAGTAGCAGAGGCCTGAGTAGGAGCAGGAGCATGCAGGCAACCGCAAGTAGGAACTTGCAAGTTCAAGTGATGTAGAATTAGAAGGTTCCCGCACAGAGTTCCAGCCTCAATGGGTTCGATCCTGATGTGATAACAGTTTTCACAATCCCACAAACATGATAGAACTCGACCCTGAAACTTGATCGGGTTGTGTCGCGCCCAGCTTGGGCCCTCAGGTCCGCAGTGTCAGAATGGCTCCTCCGAAATCGGCAGCTTTGATGCAGACATGTTTCTGGGGCCTCGTAGCCAGTGGCTTTCTGGGGTCATGAACGGCAAAATTGCAATGAATGACTAAGCTTTGCGCCACAATGCCTGCAAGTTGCCCAACCTTGACACTCATCTTTCCAACCAAGCAGCAGGACAGGGGGAGGGAACTTTTGTACCAGACACTCAGATGAACAGGGCATGTACACAGGCAAGTTTTCAGACCGGCAATGTATCTCTACCATGTTCTAGGCGCGTGCATCGCGATGTCATCGTGACGGTTGCTTCACAGCAGCAGCTTCTTATTCTCTGGTGTTCAGCTGCCCGTTATCGCTCTCTCGAAAGGTTTCCTGGTGTTTGGGCTCTTGGCGAGAACAATTTCTACGAGTTCACACATTCGGACAGGCTGGGCCAGCCAGATGTGTTAGGATCAGCTCCAGCATTGAAGTTAAACATCTCCCCCGTCCGTGATGTGTTGCAGATCCATGAAGCGCTCAGCGATTAGACGTAAAGACAAGGCTGAGGTTTGTCAAAAGCTGGTCGTTTTGTGGAGGTAAGAGGTGTAACTGTGAGTGTAAGCTCCATGCCATGCTGCAACGCGTTGCAACGCAAGGCCAGCAGTGCTCGTGGCTTTGGGTCCAAAGGTGTGGGAAGCCGACCAACGAGTAATCTTGTGTATGCAGCCGGTTCCTCTGAGCTCGTACTTTTGACATTCAGAGCTGCCAAATGTACTGCGCGACCTTTTTGCATGCTGTGCCTTTTGGTATGCATGGGCTAGACTGCATAAGGAAGCGGGGAGTCTGCCGCTTGAAGCCGAAAGTCTTTTCATGGTCAGTCTGGCCCCATGTCGTGCAGACAGAACTTGTGTCCGACTTTGCCGTTACGTGCTTGCAAGCCTGTGCAGGTGGATGAACACCTGGAGCAAGAAATACGAGGCTTCCGAATGGTCAGTCTAGACATCGTTTGCCAGTTGGTTGGGCTTCTCTTCCTGCTGGATCTTGCCAGAGAGAAGGTTTAAGTCAAGCTTGAGGTGCGCAGCGGGAGTTCTCACAGGAGTTCTTCTTTGGGGCCCTGAACGGATCACACTGGTCCGAGGTGGCTGGGAAGCTGCGCTTGCATCCACATGAAGCTTCCACCTACGCATGAATTCTGCTGCAGTGGTGTCGGATGTCTGGTGCAGCAATCTTGCATGGCAGGAGCTGAAGATGTTCAACATCCATCCGCAGGAGCTGCGAGAGCATCCCATCCCATCAGTTTGCTTGCCATTGCCTGTATTCCAGCCATCACTCCCAAATGTTCAACTTTTCCAGCACCTGCCTTTTTTTCGTACAGAGGCTCCATGGTCTGGGCCAACATGCAAGCGAAGCTGAATTGATTGCGGTCACACTGAGTAGACTGTACGGGCTCGGGCCTAGGGTGAGGAACATCCGTTGCAGCTCTGTGCTGCTTGGCCGCCGATGCGTCAGCGCCCACTCCTGGCTCACATGATAGGAAACGCTTTAAGTCTTATAATCGGCCGCAGCAAAGCCGCAAAGCCGAAAGTCAAAACCCAGCTTCCTGGCTCCAGGGCCCAGCCCACCCTTAGCCGACCCTCAGCCCACCCTTGACCTCTCACCCCAAAGGGTGCCCAACGCCTTGCCAAGGCTACCAAGTCAGTCTTGCAGCTTTTGCATTAAAGCAAGTGCATTCATGCTTGCAAGAGACCATAGTAAGGTCCGAGCAAACCAAGTTTCTGAGTTGCTCTCCATCACTGGAGGGACCGCGCTTGCCAAGCCTCTGGCAGCTAAGGGTGTGCCTAGCTAGCTTGAGCCATGACGACATGTGCAGCGCCTCTGGCGGCACCAAGCGATTGCCTAGCCGAAATCTGACGGTTTGACTGTAGGTTAGAAGGGATCGAGATGCTTGGATTTCTGCTGTGCAGATCCTCGCGTACTCTCAAGCGCAGCAGCTGAGGACCTCAATGCGCCATACTCGCGGGCAGAGCTGAAGCGAGTGCGCAGCCTCACCGGGAGACTTTGGTATGCTAAAACGGATGTTAGAGCTACCACTTGTTGAAGATTCTTTTGGGGCATCTTGCTTACTAATCTCCCTTTTCCAGTACCAAATGCCGCTGGAAGTCTCAGCGCGTCGCGGTAAGAAGCTTCACCAAGGTCAAGGCCGTCCGGTTTACGATGTTCGATGCAGATACTCTGCAGGGGCGGAGTCCTCAGTGATGGTTCAATTTCGCAGACTTGTTGGATGCTGCAGCTGCCATGCTGAAAGTTGTATTTTCGCCTCTGATCAAATGCAGAGGTACTCTGTGGCCGAGATCTCCAGCAACGAAATCTACAGAAACGGGCAACCAGCCTGTGACCGAGACTGCACGGATCCTCACCAGTTTGTCCGTGGAGCCAAAAGTCTTAACGATGTTGACCTTACCGGGTCAGCTCTCCTGAGCTCCCGAAGCTGAGGTTCACGGAGGCATCAACGATCCCCGGCTTGGCCCGATTGATGTTAGCAGCTGGGCCAAATCATCTCGTCACTTCCAGCAATAGGGTGCTTTTGAGAGGGTAGAGGCTTCATCTAGACGACTCGTATAAGGGCCGGTGCCGTTTAGGAGCTCATCAGGTACCATGGCGATTCAAGTTTTCTCTTGTGAGGTTTCATCATCAGCCGCACGATGCATTGTTTCAGCTACATGCCTGGTAGCAATGCAGAAGGCTGTCCAAGTTTCCTGAACAACAATCATGGTCTGAGAAACTGCAGCCCAACTTGAAACCCACAAGCACAGACTGAGCTTTGAATGCCTCAGCACCAGAAAGCTGAGGAACACTCTGTGAGACATGCGGAGAAGGCTGACTTCTTCTTGGTGATGTCACGACCTTTGTGATGCGAGCTTGTTATTTGCCAGTATGGTATGATGCGCTGCAGTTGAAACCCTTGCGCATTTGTTTGTGAAGGTTTATCTTTGTGTCAGATCCACCTGGTCAGATTGAAGCTGGATTCCCAGCCCCTGTCGATAGCCTTGCGCAGAGCCTGGCACAGCCCTGGCATTGAAGAACGATGTGAGGGCAGAAGTCGTACCCAAATCTTTCAGCGGAGCCATATCCTAATCAGGAACATAGGCATGAACAACGCATCTCAGTTGAGACATGCTTTGCAGGCGTCAAGACCTGCCCTGGCCACTGGGGCCATCTCACCCTGGCCAGACCCATGTGGTGAGCCCAGACCCATTTGAGGGGATGCCGACACAGGGCTGCGGGATGCCTTTAACAGGCTGTTTTGGATAAGGTTTGATATGGCCATTGGTCCAAAGGGCTTGGAAGCAAAATTTAAGTAGGGGAAACACAAACTTCATATTGAGTCAGTTTTCAGTATTCGTTCTCATGCGGCTCTCCAACGAGGATCCAACAAATCCCCTGCGCTAGCACGAAGCTACTAGATCTACTAACATTTGTGACATAGGACATATAGGCAAGGTTGCAAAAGGTAAGGATGTGGCTGTGCCTAGGTCTTGTTCTGGACGTAAGTCGGCCTCCCCTATCTTAACGCTTCCCGCGACTCAATTTGGATGATTAGCTTTGGACAATTTGAGCTGTCAGCGTTAGATTTCCTGCTGATGCCTTGAGGACTTGGGAATTTGGGTGTGAGCAGGTACCCTTGCCCGCGATGCAACCTGTTGCTCAGTTCCTCGCAGCTGCACTAATGTCGTGGTCCAAACTCAGGCTCTAAGTTAGAGCCCGCTTGAACGCTTTCAAGTACCAGACCTGGATTCCCACCAGGAACGTCAGAGCCCAAATTCGGCTCTAGATAAAG